AATAGCAGGATCAGCAAATAGTACAGTGAAAATTGTATTTAGTAGTAGTTCAGTAGTATCAACATATTTTTAGTTTTCAATTAAAATTTCTAACTTTTAATGTATTTTAATGTTCTGTACTTTCTGTATTTCTCTTCCCCGTGCTGGATGTATATTTTGAATAGATTGGAATTGATTGATTGACTGATAATAATAGTAACAGAGGCCTAATTATAATAATATTATTAAAATAAATTTTTAAATAATGCAATAATGTTAAAGCTCTTCCGTAAACTTAAAAAACGTTCAACAAGCAGAGCGCATTTCATGCATTTCGATTTAGGAAAGGATACAATGTCCCTATGGCCCTTATTGATCTTACCAACAAAATTGTTGACGCATTTTGAAAACAGGCAAGTCTTATAGCATCAAGTTAGCGATATACATTTTGTAAATACTGATTCATTGACTGTCCGTAACCTGCGCTGACAGTGCAATCGGTAAAACACCACGGTTGGATCTCTAAACATTACACGCTGGATTCGAGGAACTTGAGTGTTAACATTAGTGTGGTTACGACTGTGTTTCATACAAAACATGTAACTGCATGGTAAAACGTAAGCTGTCTGATTGACAATTCGATTTATGAAGTAGGCCTAAGTAACACAAATGCTACTGTGCGATGTCTTAACTTCATTGTTATCGTTTGCGTTGTTTCTGATTTCACAAAATCGTGTGCTTATCCACTTATATATTAATCCGCCAACGTATCAACAAATCAATGCATTAGGAATTTCTTCCGATCGACCTCTTGAATTCTTTACTAAACTTTTTGTTTTAGTATCATGGTGTATGTATGTGGCCCTTGATTCTATAGACTTATTTAAAACATTCATAAATTACAACATGTCTATGCCTAGTATTTATCGGGCATTTTCTTGTCATTACTTATATAGCTGTCAAGACAGACAACGATTTTCTTTTCATAAGTCTCGGTTAAAATGCATTGAATCTTGGGATAAAATTTGTAATTGGAAAAAAAACCCCTTTATCAAATAACCATGTTTCGTTGCACAAAAAAAGGCAATACATACTTATAATTACATGTAATTAATTTTAGTCAAGCACAATTAAAATAAGCCTATAATTTATTCTAAAGTATAAGTCTAGGTATATAAGAAAATCAGAAATGTTGCTTACCACTGTAAACATAATGTAGAAATTATCTATAAACAGAATGGATAATAATAAATTAGAAGGAAGAAACGATGTTATACAGCGTAGCTCTTCAACAAAAGATTTCCTAATTGGTTACCCTAGAATTAATGGATTTACACGCGCACACAAGTACGTCTGTAATTTAATGTATTAGGCCTATTAAGTATCCTCTTGCAGGGGCCCTGCTTTTAGTGTGGCAACAAAAATAGAAATTGTACAGTATATAATTTTCATAACTATAAAAATACTATTGAATAAATTTGAATCTTTTTTTTAAATTGAGAAAAAGATTTACTGATGATTATTCGCTTAAGCTAAAATGGGTAAAATTTACCCATTTTAACTTTAAAAAGCGAATATAAATCTTCAATATATCTTTTCAATTTATCAGAATAAGAATTTATATCGTTATGTTTGTTTAATATATTACATTGAAGTTAGAGAAAATATGTTTTTCATCTGTTTGAAGTATTCGCTGACGGGGTTTTGTACCTAGCACATTATTATTAATGGATTATTATTATTGCAAACCATGGAGAAGGTACCGGTATTATCACTATAATACATTATGGTCCAATGCACTACAGGGCACCTACTAGATTTAACAAGTTGCCGACGAATTCCCATACCTTCGTCATTACTGTATAGCATTTCTACGAATTCACTACGTCCAGATTACCGCGGTTTTCTTAACACATCTTCGGTCCGTGCGTTGGTGATGACACCGTGTTGAGCTTTTGAAGGAAAGACATAATCTTAAGCTTCTTTGAAATGTGGAAATTCAATGCACGGCAACCCATGAATTGGGTCAGTTGATTGCTAGATTAATAGGCCTATCTACATTTCAAAATTGACACAAGATTGAACCTTTTCGTTCGCTGAATTCAAAATCCATTTCGATTGAAGCATCATTTCAAATACAGATTTTCGGACGGGGTTAAGACAACCTTTTTAGGGCTATTTGATTTGAAACAATAGCCTATTTGTGAACAACATCGTAAATAATAACATGTTTGAAATAAAAATGTTTTAAATCATATAGACCTAATAATACTGTATATAGAAACGTTGTTTTATTCTGTTTTTGATATAAGTGTTTGATAGGTCAATCATATATAATACAATACAATCTGAAGTGGTTATGTTTTCAAAAATAAGCCTACAGTATCTACTATACTTATATAGGCCTACAACTTGAGGGCTCACACATAATGGACCGAATTTTTAAGCTACGTAGTTGCTTATCGGTAGTAGATCATTATGTTTGTTAACAGTTGACGGTTGTAGAGGTAACGTAATCAAGAATGAATGATGCTTATGGTAGGAAAATAAGGTAATTATGTCTGCTAATACAGTCATCTGAATACTAGGCCTAATACTACGCTAGTTTAATATGTATATATGCATAAGAAATGACTGCACTGGTTATTTACACACATGCAAACAAACGAGTGTAGGTTTGTTTATTAGACCCACTAACTACATTTGAAGACAGATCTTATTAATTTGTAAACATGTGATAATGATCATGACGTTGCAAATTACACATTTCAGAAAAAAATACCGGTATTCTACATGTTGAAATCATTTGTAGAGCTTTGGTCGTGAACGGATAGTCAGCGATATAGCACAATTGTCATGATTATGTTTACATAGTTTAAAGATGCGTGGGCGGAAGAAGAGAACGATTTGGATTACATTTAGCGTATATTGTATATATTGTGCAGAGACTGTTTATTTGTACTACCTTAAATGATCATCGAAGCTGAATAACGATGACAATGATAATGAAGCTAATGATGATATTGGTGGTGACGACGGTGGTGGTGGGAAATTGGTGATTATGATGTTCTTGTGGTTGTTGTTGTTGATGATGATGATTATGATGATGATTATGATGGTGATTATGATGATGATGACGTTGATAAAGATGATGATAATGATGATAAAATAAAGATGATGTTAGTAATGAAAATGATAATGAAGTTCATGAAGATCATGTTGGTGGAGATTACGATCTTGGCGGTGATAACGATGATGCATGGTTACGGTGGTGGTGATAATGATAAAGATGACAATAATGATGACAATAAAAATAACAATAACAAAAAAAGCAACAGCAATAATAATTGAAATAATAATTGTAGCATCGATGATGTTAAAGTATTATTTAACGAATTTCAATTAGTGTAGCATAATACGAAGTAGTGTAGATGTTTTTGCAATATAAATATTGATCAAGCGCCCTCTAGTGACATGATAAATAAGAGATGAACAGTCTTTTGTCGGAAATATAGTTGTAATATAAAAATGACAGTGATGCGTAGATATGTTTTCATATGCTAATAACGTCAACCATAATGTCATGAAATTGAATTGCAAACATCGTCATGTCAGAATATTGTACCATGTGTGTATTTTTCAGCTATTTACCACAATCCAGACTAACAATCCCATACGATTCAGAATAAAATAGTTTCCACAGTTTGTGAATTACATACAGACATTCAGATTTATGTAATAGTAATACGAATACGGTAGTACGTTGGGGGCGAAATGAAAATCTGTCACGCCAGTAAAGACATACGACCGTTGGTTCACAAAAACGTGTTATCTTGCGAAGGCATGCGTTTGACTATACGCCACAGAGCATAACGCACCTTTTAGCGATCTATCGTCAAACACGCATCATTGGCAAGCACGAAGCTTAGCCCTGGACTCACACCTAATCCATTCCATTATGCATCGTTTAAGACATGATATTGTAAACACAATATTTTACTGTTATATCTATGCATACTTTATCATACAGACATATTACAATACTATTACGCCCATTTTCATTCAGTTAATATAAATAATTTCGTATTGTTCAGTTTTTAATGACAATCACTTCACACATCGATCTGTTGGTGGCTTGGAAGGTTGTGCAGTTAGTCAGTCTGTAAGTCAATACACAGCACAAACTGCATCATTTGTCTAATACTACTGGAAAACATATCTGGTTGCAAAGGACTACCAGCGGGATTCCCTACAATACACGTTCTCTGGACTTAAGCGCGAAAATAAGCCATCATCACTCCCGAGTTTGCACACGCCACCTCGATATACAGTTGAATTTTGAAATGCATAGCTCTCACGACTACTGTATATTGATCGCACACAGATTGACTACCTAAATTATGTGAATAATATTCTACAATGGCTTAAATTATGGACTACCGAATATCAATATTTAGGAGCAACAGACTTCTATCGTGTGTGTCTCATTTATATCTTTCGTTCATTAATATACTTAGATATATTTTTATAATTATTCAAATAATGGGAAGGCATACAGTTTATGCTGATGTTGTTATCGAGCGACCATTAGGCCTAATATCTCATCTTAATAACGACCATCTCAGTCATCATCCTATCATCAACTTCACTATCATTATTAGTATCATTATCACCACCACCACCATATACTAACAAACACATTTTGCTATTCGAATGTACACACAATGGCTACAAGTTAAACGCCACATCCACAACAAACATCACTTTCAACTACCATCACGTCTATATGCATCCGAATTGTAATGCTTAATAAACGGAAATCGCCGTGAGTGCTCAGTAACCACCAGGTCACAGTAATCAAACATTTGCTACTGCATGATTCTACATATATTTCCCACCGAAAATATATCGATTTCTTTCCGATTGTGCCTGTAGTGAATACAGTACAGTGTTAATTTGACGATCTCTCCAACAAGCTAAACAAGACTTTATGTCTAGAGTAATTTTGTAAATAAACTTACCTTAATTTCTCTGCAATGATACATAACTATTAGAACTAAAAGCACCACTGTTGATAAACTTATTAAGGACTTAAGAACTGTTGAAAACGGTGAGCTCTAAAGAAAGAAAAATAAAAAACAGATGTGTTAATACAAGATACAAACGGATTGTATATAGAATTGTATTCATATATATATATATATATATATATATACAGCTGTCTCTTATACACATCTAGATGTGTATAAGAGACAGAAAGTAAATCGTGAGAAAAATAAGGCAGTGAATTTAACGGACAAAGTGGATAAAATCTTTGTGTTGTTACGTTCGTACGTCATCAATATGATTAGTCATCAACATCGGTGGCGTCATTTTTAAATAAGAACTTTACGGTATTACCGGAGTGCATAAACGAATATAAGAAGCAAGCCAAATTATGAAAACTGAAATACTTTGGCGGCAAAACTACTCCGGTGGAACAGGTAAAGCTGCCCTCAGATGTTTTAACGTATCATGCCTCATTTGGTTTTTTTTTTTTTTTTTTTTTCATTTTTAAATATGTTATGTTATTATGAATTATCTTGAATACGCGAGTCGTTACCGACGGGAACTTGGACTGCCTGGCAGGATGACTGAGGACCACTGCTACCTCTCTGGAGCTGTCATAATGTGTTGGCAATAGAGGGTGACGTTGGCCGAGGGATAGGTTTGAAATCTTGCCAATCGACTTTATTTACGATATTGATTCCTTTAAATATGAAATGTTTATTTTCAAATTTAAAAGTGTAAATCTGTAACAATGGAATCGACTGGAGGTGCCATTTATCCTTCCATCAATTCATTCATCATTCATTCAATCAGCATTTTCATGCGTACAGAATTACACACTAGATCAATATTCTAACCATTCAGTCATTCACTTACTTATTCCCTCACCCTATTCAATCATCCATTACCGTATGTAAGGTAAATTATCTATTCTGAAGGGGATAACAAATATTTTGTTGTCATAAGTTCAATGGTTGATTTAGCTGTCATAAAACATTATGATCAATAAAACTATGCTCCAGTTTAAGGCCAAATAATAATTATGTTAACACAATATCCGGGACAATGAAGGCAGCGGTAAAGTACCGGTCTATAACATGAGAGGGACAGAGTTCAACACCTGCCAAAATGTCGTCCTATACTCTGCTCTAATCATCTCATCCTTCGGATTGGACAATAAGCCTTTGGTCTAGTGTGTATAATAATAAGCCTACATGTGTAAGTTGAAACTACAACGTTCATTTTGGTTCGTTTGAGTGTTAAATAAAATAACTTGAAAAAATTCAGTACAAAACTAGAAAAGAGTAAAGGATTGTCTTCTGGTGTATTGACATTATAGGTGCTGCACTGTCGAGGGTCACTAGGAGCCTAATCCGAATTTCATCAATAAAAATGTACATTTACATATACTTTTAGTAGGCCTACGAACCTATTCTTCGCAAGAGAAAACCTAGATAAACAGACGTTAAAACTTCATCAGTTACCGTATGTAATGCGGAGTAGGCCTAATGCACAATGTGGTGCATGTAGGTGTGTACTGTATATTTGGGGTGGGGATTTTTGTGTAGGTACGTGCGTATGTATGTACGCATATCATATAGGCCTACATGCATGTTATGTACGCATATTGGACTAAGATCATGTTTCATAACCATGCAAAGATGACACCTAGCTATTCGACTTCGACTGCAAACGTATCCACGGTAATTACAAGTGCAAGGCCAGGAAAGGTTGTCTCGTCAGCGAGCCGAAAGAGGCCTTCGCTACCGGCTGTACGATTAATACGACTGTGCAGGCCTACGGTATATTGTAACACGACTCGGCTCTAACGCATTCAAAATGCGTCGACATGTACCACGAGATTAGCGTGTAACCGGTTACCAATAATACCTGTATGCGGATCCATTGTACAGTACACGCAGTGGGCGTTCAATGCGTTTGCCAGTGCAATCGTACATGACAGTTAGATCTACGATGCCTTATATATTAGGCTTTTTTGATGTAAAATTAAAATCACAGTAATTACAAATTTGATTGACTAACAAAATTGAGAAATAAACAAAATAACAATTTACTAAACGTTTTTCAGCACCATGGTGTGTGACAGAAAATTATAAATTAACGAAAAGTAAACAGATAACGTAAGTTCTGTTCTATTTTCTCTATGGTTATAGCCATGTAACATTATTGCTGAATGTTACATGTTTAAGCCTGGACGTAGTAGTTCAGTTTATAGTTTATTATAATACCTCCATGCTTTAAGATAGCACAGCCGAGACAGAGACTTGTGGTAAATGACCATCAAGCCGTTCAGAAGTTTGGGATTGATAGGCCTAGCTATCGATCAAGCATTTTGGGAAAGTGGTGCGATCAGAGAGCACAGAACACTGAAAAGGCCACGCTGTAATTAAACGATCGCATTGCAGAGTGAGAATAATCACATACTAATGAATTTTAAATTGCTGAATACGTATAGCTAGAATAATACCAGTTAGGGAATAGGAATATCATAGCATGCTAATATGACTTGATTGACGTCTGATTTGACATCGATGACACTAGTCACGTGACACGATACTACGATTGAGATGTCGTCCGACTTATCTAGATCCAAGTAGATATGATTATGATGATGATGATGATAATGATGATGATGGCGATGATAATGATGACAATAATAATAATAATAACGATTGGAAAAAATAGTGATGATGATGATGATGATGATGACAATGATGATGGTGAAGATGATGGCGATGATGATGATGATGATGATGATGATGATGATTATGATGATGATGATGACGATGATAAATAAGGACGATGATGGCGATGATAACAGTATTAACGGTATTAACTTATGATTACTATGGTTATCACAAAATGGTAAAGTATTGATAATCTAGTAATTTTATATAAATATTAAATTGAAGGTTCCTCGTATTTTAGAATAAATAATTCCCTTGACTAATAATTCATATAGTCTACGCTGACAAATTACCATAGATCGTATCCATAAAATAAAGCAACACTGATTGAACTAGAACATCATTCCATGATATTAGATATCCAGTATCCATTGCCTCACAACTCCGCAACGTTTTCACGAACCGTCAAACTTAACTAAAAAGCACTGAATTATTATGCCCGTGGGTCTCAGAAGCTGTCAATGAATGGTCCTCAAGTCAGCGTAAATATCTACCAAATTTGACAAGCTATTTCAATATATTGATATTGAGGAGTAAAAATAGGCCTCAATACCACTAATCTGTACTAAGGGATACTCAATGTTCACAAAAAGCGCGCGCCGTCGAGAATTAATTGATAGCTTCTTCTTCTTTTTTTTTTTTTTTTAGAAATATGAAGAGTTATATGTGATTTTTTTAAATATTATAAATAGTACAAGGTCGATAAACGCATATTTTAAAATTATATACCGTATTATTAGCATAAATGTATCGTTTAATTTGCAAAGTAAACATAAATCGACAAAAAGTACCCAAGTAACAAGCCATTAAAAATAATCACCCAAAATACCGATACAATATTCATTAACGAATTCTCACGTTTAAAAAAATTAGAAGTTCCCTGTTAGCATTGGAAAATCAATTGGTAATTGGTTTCTTATAAATCCTATTCATAGAAAAAATTAATAAGGTGCGGTGGTATTGATTTGACTATCTGCACAATAGCTCAGACTTAATATAAAACAACATTCTTTTTGTTAACAAAATATTCTCGAAGTAGGTAATGACGACTGAATGAAAGACTGTGACTTATGACCCTGAAGTCATCATTGAATTTTACTAAGTAAAGGAATAAAACTACACCCCTATGCACACCCACATACATACGCATGAATATTAATTATAATATTATACGTAAAATAATATCAAAATTATTAATATTAAGATTACTGATATCATTATCATTATTAATATCATCATCATAATATGATTATCCTTATTTAAAAAAAAAAAAACAGGCTGTGATGCTCTGTATTAATAATAGGCCTAAGCAAAATAATATAAATACTAGTACTAATAATAAATGATTACATAAAATAGATTCATCAATCATCAATAGATTCTATATGCTCTTGGTTGTTGATGGATGTGTCTTGCTCGATGTAGATAGCGATCAATACGATTTTCATTTTAATATTTTCAGAATTACAATTTCGTGCTTTTAAATTACCTAGAAATATCTAAATCTCTAGATGCTGCCATTATAATAATGAACGAGAGAGAAACAGGGAAACCAAAGAGAGGTGAAAGGAAATCGAGAAAATGAAAGAGAATGAGAAAGCGAGTGAATGAGAGTACGTGAATCACGAATTTCTTAATTAATAATGGCGGACCTGGTTTGCTGTTGGTTCTGTAAATCCTAGTTTATACTGAGGCAACGATTCGTCGTCGTTTGAGGCCTTTGGTCCAGCTCAGTGTTCGTAGGATGAAGGAGTGTGAATTACAATTTAGAAATTCACGGTATGCCCTTCATAAGCCGTTGTATATGTACGGTTTTGACCTGAGTTTAATAATATTATATTATGTTAATAATACGTCCGACTGACTAGATAACGCTTTCGAATGTTTAGTGCTATACCATGTCCGCCCACGTGCATTAATTTCAGTTAAATGCAGAAAATATGGCAATCATGCTTTTAACATTCATGATGCAAATCAGTGATGCTGACTTGTATACTTGTAAAATAACTCCCTATGCAATAACGTTACGCCTTACATACATTCCTACATGTATAGGATATACTATAATAAACAATGTGTAGAATATTGGATACTAACATACTTGAATGCGCATGAGCATTACGCCTACACGTGCTTCAGATTGGATCAACATCTATGGAACACATTCTCATCTCTCTAGGGGTGTGGTCCATTAGTAGGCCTAATATGCGAATTGCCCTAACATTGACACTACTAAAGCATACCTCTGCGCTGAGTGACGACTTGTGGATAGGGTGCCTTGTCAAAAAATAAACAGTAGCTTAGAATCAAACCCTCGATTCTTACTTGTAAATAATTTAAAAAGAGTACAAACATAGGTT